TTCGGTGGCTAAGGTGTTGGATGAGGTTTTGCGGTAGTGGTTATAGATACTACGTACTGGGTATTGCTATACATTGAACGTATATACTACTATGTATAGTCTCAGGCATGTGATGTACAGATAATATGAAGTGCATTCTGAGTATAGTCCCGCACATCACCTACAATTTCGCCTCTCTTTCAGTACTAGCATCATCCCCCTTGCCCTTCCCCTGCCACGCAAATCCAATCTCCTTGCCAATCCCCGGCTCAACAATAACATTAACAACAGTCACACACTCACTCTCGAACCCTTCCCTCGTCGCCCTCTCCAACTCCTCCTCCGTCCTAACAAAGAACCCCTTCCCACCACACATCGTCGCCAACATCTCATACCTAGTTTCGTAGAGCAGACTCGTCGAGCGCAGGCCCTTCTTCGTCCCTCCAGCACCGCCACCACCACCACTCTCAGAAGCCTTCGTATCATTCCCCACCGTCTGACCCTGCAATACCCTCCAATCATCCTCACTCACCGAATCCCCGTGATATATGCCCGAGTTATTAACCACGTAGATGAGTGCCGGGATGCGGTACCGCGCTAGAGTTTCGATTTCCATAGCGCTGAAGCCGAAGGCGCTGTCACCTTCGAAGGCTACTATTTTCTTTGGCTTGGTGGAGGTGGTGGATGGGAGGGCGTTGTATGCTTCATGCGCTGCGACGATGTACCCCATCCCGACGCCCATCGTGGCGTAGGTGCCTGCGTCGAGGCGTTGGCGGGGATGGTTGAGCGGGAAGATGGAACGGGAGATGTCCATTGTGTTGGCGCCTTCGGAGACGTAGATGATGTTTCCCTGTTCGAAGGGGGAGAGGGTGTTGAGGGTCGATTTGATGATGTGGTAGGCGCGCTGGTAGGTGAGGGGGGTGTTTGGCGGGGTGGGACGGAGGGCGGCGGTTTGGGCTTTGAGTTCGTTGCGGTTCGCGGAGATGGTTAGAATAGATGTGAAGGTTTCGTTGGGTTTATTAGACGATGATGATTGGGATGAAGTAGGGGAGTATTTCCAGTTAGAGAGCGAGGAGAGGAGTTGGTCTACGACCAGTCCGATGTCTCCTAGAATTCCTAGCTCGGCTGTTCCGGCGTTGCGGCCGATTTCTTCGGCGCATATGTCCACCTGGATGATCTTCGCTTTCGGATTCCATTTGGGTGCTTCGCCGTAGTGGAGGATCCAGTTGAGACGGGCACCGAGAATCAGGACAACGTCGGCGTGCTTTAGGGCTGCGCTGCGCGCGCTGGATGCGTTCAAGGGGTGCGAGTCCGGCACGACGCCCTTGCCCATTGGTGTCGGTAGGAATGGGATCTGGGTCTGATCCACGAGCTGGTTGATTCCGAGCTCTGCGCGCGCGTATGCGGCGCCTTTGCCTATCACTAGGAGTGGGGAGCGAGCAGTGCGGAGCAATTGTGCTGCCTTGAGGATCAGGGCTGGGTCGCCGCTCGCCTTTGGCGGCGAGGGGACGAGCAGGGTCTCGGGCTGCGGGAGACGGTATCCAGGGGAGGATTTGCCTTGGATGATGTCGGCGGGGAGGTCGACGAAGGTCGGGCCTGGACGGCCGTACCAGCATGTGCGATAGGCATTCTTGACGGCGCCGGGGATGAAGTCGAGGGAGGAGGCGCGGACAGCGAGCTTGGTGTGGGGGGTGAGCAAGGAGATGGCGTCCAATTCCTGGAAGGCACCTTTGGTGACGCCGGTAGTCTCGGCAGATCCGGCGAGAACTAGCAATGGGAAGTTGTTTGCGGAGGAGTTCCCGATCTGGTGACAGTCGATAGTATGGAGTTAGCACGATGGCCAAGAGCTGGCTAGCGGTGGAGAGAATGCTGGAGTAAGCTTACCCCGGCCAGCGCGTGGAGAACTCCCGGCCCTCCGACAACTAGACAGACGCCCGGTCGGCCTGTCATGTATCCGTAGACACTGGCAGCATAGCTGCAGGCCTGTTCGTTGCGAAAGGCCACGAATCGAATGCCCAGGTTGATGGCCTCTTCGGCGATCTCGACCACAGGGATGCCGACAATGCCGAAGATGACGGTTACGCCTAGATCGCGCAGCGATCGGGCGATCAGTTGAGCGCCGGTGACCACGGCCATAGTATACAGTGGGAATTTTCTCCTTGCAAGGAGAATTGTGAGAGCAGTGCTGCTTCAGCGAGAAGTCGAGCGGAGTTCGAGTTGAAGGAGGAGCAGGAGAAGAGCCGAGGCAAACAATGGCGGATGACGCAAAGGGGTGAGTGGCCCCAGGCAGCCACATGAATAGTATACAATAAAGGGATGGAAAACTGTAGATAATTGACTACAACCATTAGACTAGAACAGAATATCTACAGATAATTCGCATTCTCATTTACACTGCATATCTCAATGAGCTTCGTTCATTACGGCATCCCTCCGTGGGCGCCAGTCCGCAGAGAATCATTCATATATGGTATCCATATCCAAAACATCACCTTCCATCCAGCTAGACAACATCTCTCAGCAAACCAGGCTGAGCATGACCACTATATGCCCTTTTGCTATGCTTAAAACTCAAACTCCCGCCGGAACACATTGACATCCATGCCCGCCACCACCTGATCAGCCAGATCGCGTCGTCCCATCTGGCTAAAGACTCGCCGCAGCGTGTCGTACAGGTTGGTGCTCTGGTTCTGGCTAACATGGATCATGCGATCCAGCTGCTCGTCGTCAATGCCACCCTCGCCACCGACAATCTCACGCGCCCGCTCTCGACCTTCCTGCTCAACCACCCGGTGCATCGACAGTGCTCCCAGCAGGTGTTGCGCAGCTTCTGGGTAGCAGCCGATGTTGATGCACGACACACCCAGGTTGTACCGCGCCCGGACGAAGTTGGGGTTGATGTTCAGCGCTTGCTCGTAGGCTTCGATCGCCTCCTCGGAGCGACCCGAGTTGGCGAGCGTAGCACCCAGACGGTTCCACAACAAGTGGAGCTGCTCCTGTTGGTTCGAGGTTCCAGATTCCGTGGACGCCAATGCAGCAGAGAAGCAATCAACCGCCTTGTCGTACTCCTCCGCGCAGTAGAAGAGAACTCCCAGACCGACCTGGACGTCCGGGTCCATTTGCTCGCCCGAAGGCGATAGCTGAGCAGCCTGAATGAAGAGATCGGTGACACGGTCGTGCAGGAGCTGACGATCCGTAAAGCCCAGGTCGGCATCCGATGAAACATCGTTGGGGTTGATAATATGGGGGTACTTGACGGACAGCCATCGCTCCAGAGTGCGGTACGATGTCGAGTCATAGCCCTCATTGGTGTAGGAAACAGCCAGTCCCATCAGCGCATCCAGGTTGTTAGCATCGATCTTCAGTGCCTGCTCCAGCGCCCTGATGGCCGGGAGTTCCTTCTCATTCTGCGCCTGGGCCGATCCCAGCATGGTCCAGGCCTGGACATGTTGGGGATCTTTCTGGACTGCCGCCTCGAAAGCCAAAGCAGCCAAGGAGAGATTTCCGCCCTCACGCATGATCTTCACTCCCTCTTCGAAAGGATTGTTCACGCTCCGGAACACGTTATCTTCTTCGAACATATAATCGCCTAGTTGGGGGTTCCGGAAGCGTGTGTTAAGCGTATCGAATCCGTCCCATTCGCCCATCTCACCCATATGCAGGTTGTCGTCAATGTTAAAGTCGGTCTCACCCTCGGCCAGTTTCCTGTTGGTTGCGGTCTCAGCCTGGACCCGTTGCCACACGCTTTCAAAGGCACTATCGCCTGATTCTTGGGGGACTGACCTGTCCAGATCATTCAGCTCTGCCTCCACAGCTGCGTTGGCCTCATCGTCCAATTTCTGAGTATCCGCCGTCTCCATCTCCGCAAACTGTGCCTCCCAGTTCTCGTCGTCCAGCTCCACCATCCGTCCCTTGCCCTTATCCTGTGTAGTCGCCTCCGCTGGCTGCTGCTGCATCGCCATAGGGTTAAAAGTCTGCGGCATCATGCCCATTCCACCCATGCCCATATACCCGCCCATACCCATGGGCCGCTGGTACCCTGCCATCATCGGCGACGGGGCAGACGCCACAGGGTTAGCCGTCTGCGGCATGCCAGCCCGACTCTGCTGCTGAAACCGGGCAAATTCCGCGGGCGTAAATCCCGACGCATTGTTCATCATGGGACCTTGCGGCCCGGCAAATGCAGCCTCCATGCGGGCATGCTCACCCGCATCGAACTCGGCAGCCCAGCCGGGGGAGCCCGTCCGGGGAGGTGTGGTCTGGAACTGATCCAGCTCACGTCGCAGCTGCTCCATGGCGAATGGTTGCGGGGGAGCGCCGGGGATTTGGCCGGGTTGTTGGGCGAATTCGTCCATCATCTGAATAGGATTATCAATCAGGCATTAGTACTGGATGAGGATGTATGGTTTCTGATAGATAACGGTTCACTTCGTACCTGATCTTGTCCTCCCATCATACCCCGGGACCGCATGCCTTCTTGCATGCCTCCGGGACCCCGCCCCACGAGGCGATCTCTCTGTAGGGACTTATCATCTTGGACGTGCTTGGTGAACTGAGTCAACGGATTGCCTGCCGTCGAGCACTCGGCGCCACCAAGGAAGGACATATTGTATGTATAGTAACGATCGTAGTGGTCTGAGTCTCAGTTATATCATGAATAATGCAGGGGTAGATGCGGAGAGGTTGAGTATTTGCTAGAGCTGATTATAAAGCAGATGTAAATGCGAGTTGTCCGAGGAAGAGCAGCTCGAGCGCCGAACGTGGGGTTTCGGAGAGAGGCGCTACTGCCGATCGGAAAGATACCGAGGCTCCCCGACAGTCACGTGGACTGTCACTATCATGCTACGGAGTATACTAGTCTATCGATACAGAATCCCCGATATAGTCCAGTCAGTCGAATGCAATTTCGTTAATATACAGACCTACAGTATGTAGGATATATCGTTCAATTAAAGTACATGAGACCTCTCCTCCTTTGACATGTTTACACAGAATAATACTGATGCCAACCGCTCAAACTATTATGACTGCTCCGCGGGAGCAGACTTGTCGCTACCAACCACGGTCCGGCTCGTGGCCTTGCTGTAATCCAGACGCAGTCTGCGTCCGTAGGGAAGCTTGTTCTCAAGGATGGCCATGGCTGCCTTGGCACTAGAGGTGCTGACGAACTCGGCGTGAGCGAAACCGCGAGCCTGTCCAGTGCGACGATCAACCGCCACACGAATATCAACGACATTCTGAACGTCCTTGAACAGCTCGTTGAGGTCCCGGTCCGTCATCTCGAAAGGCAAGTTACCAATGTACAGCGTGCGGGTAGGGGCGTTCAATTGCCGGCGGTGGTAGACATTGTTCTGGGCGAATTGCACGGTCACGCGGCGGCCCTCGAATAGACGCAAGTTCAAGGCATCCACTGCGCGCTGGGCGGCATCGATAGAGTCGAATTGGACATAGCCGTATCTATACCCGGGTAGTGGTTAGCTCTATACTGTCCTGCCACAGAAGGAATAAATTCCTTCAAACCAACTTACCCTTTGCTAATGCCCCGGTTATCAAGAACGAGAACCACCTTCTCAACAACACCATACTTCTCCATCGCCTTCTTCAGATCCTCACGAGTCACATCATAGAAGATATTGCCAATGAAAACCGTCTCCTTGGGAGTCGGCGGCTCCTGGAGTCTTCGCCTCCGCGCTTCCGTCTGCTTCTCGGCGTCAGATGCTTCCTGCTCCTGCTCCTGCTCCTGCGGCTTCTCCTGCTGAACCGGCCTCTGGTTACCAGCCTTCAGTTCTGTCTGAATGAACCGAATCGAGGGCTCTTCGCGCGACTGTTCCACCTCCTCGGTCTTCTCGCGCTGCTCGCTCTCCTCAGCAGGTTTGCGCTCATTGTTCACATCGGTACTATTCCAACGACTTTGCAATGTAGGCTGCGAAATCCGAACAGGGACTGCCAGGCGAGATTGGAGGGAAGGAAGTGCTCTGGTTGAGCGTAACGGCGCTGGGGCTGTGGAAGACAGCAGCCGGCAAGCTGCTCGGAAACAATGCCTGTGTCCGAATCGGAGTGTTAGAAATGTACACAGATATCAAAATATCGTCTCGAGGACATGCAGTACCATCGACTTACATTTTCTCTGTAGGCCAAGGATGAAAAGAGAAATAAATTATTTCTTTCTGGCCTCGTTGGAACTCTGGGGGAATTGCACTGCTGCTGTCTGCTGCTGCGGCTTGATTGGAAAATCTGGTTCGTCCGATCCGAGGCCGGTTATCACGTGATTTTACCTGTGCTGGGAGTTTTGATTGGTGGTCTAGATATTGCTTGGATTGTGTTTATAAGGTATGAGCAAAGTCTTAATGTGGAGATTTCTGGTAGCTTCATCATTGTTGAGACTAGTACTTGATGTAGTGGCGGTGCTGTAGTTCTTTAGATGTTGATGCTCGGAGACTACATATATATATCGGCACTACTGGTACATACACTACTACTTGAGTAGTTAAAGAGATGCCTTAGAAATTGTACGTAGTAGTACTACTGAATGCGCACCACTTAGTAGCACATGGAAGGAGATTAATTCGAGAAACTGAACGTAACGCCATTCCATATTTGCACCCGATTAGGAGTCACTTAATTTACATCTTTGCTTTCTTTGAAGCCTCCATTCATTAGTACCAGAGTTCATATCCATCCAGACACCAAACCCACAATGTATACCAATAAAAAGATATGAACATGCCTCTTGTTGTGAGGGGAGATAATCCAACCAAAAAGGAACCATATGGACAGAAGAATCGTACAGCACTTAGCCATCACATTAACTTTTGACATTCATTCTTTATATACTGCGTTGCCGGACTGAAGCCGAGAGACAATCAAGTTCCCGGTCCTGTATTACTTGGATGTTGAAGTGGGTTGGCGGCAAAGGCTGCCGCCGCAAGTGGACTGCTATTGTCATAGCCACTGCTGTCCGGAGAGAAAAGGTTAGGGGGACCGCGGGGCATCGAGCGAAGTCGATCAGCTCCGCCACTCTGCACGGCGGACAGCTGTACGGGTGACAGAGGACTTTGGCTTTGCTGCTGCTGCTGTTGTTGTTGTTGCACCTCGGCCGAGGGCCACCATTGTGATGACGCATCTAGCGTCGAATTCTGAATATAGGTATCCCAGGCATCCTGTGTTACTTTAGTTAGAAATAGCTCACAAGATTACACCATACAGAAACACGTACCCAATCCAGATTGAGCTGCATATCAGGTAGCTGCCCAAACATCGCGTTGAAAGGCGAAGGCGCTCCTGGCATGTCGACTGTCGTTCCTAGTGCACCCTGCGCTGGCAAGGGCGCATCTGTCATCTTGTACGTAGGATCGTTGAGGACTTGGTGGCCGGGATTTACAGGGCTCATTCCGCTGCTGAGGAGACCCAAGGTCATCGCCGCACTTTGTTTCTCATCCTGCGGCTCAAATGTCGGCGCAGGAGCAGTACTTTCAGGATATCCAAGGTTCAGTTTTGAGAGCATCACCCCAAGGGCGGTGCCTGCTTTCCAAGCGTCTATCGTCTCGTCCTGAAGTTCCTCCCATATTCCCTTGGATCGCCGCAGGGCGGCTATTAATTCTTCTCGTCGCTCTCTACCCCAAGCATATGAGTCACTGGATACTCTGCCTGTAGCCTGAAGTCGTTGTCCATGATACATATCGATGCAAATAATCGTCGCTGCCAGGAGATAGTCGGTCGAGCCGAGAGAGGTAACCCGGTTGTGTCTACTTCGTAGTCGCCCCATGGGTTGAGTTTCAGTGTGGAGCAACGATTGATACCGCAGCAATTCCATAGCGGAATCTATGCATGTTCTTCTTGAGTATGTGAAGCGAGGGTTCTCGTGCGCTCGAACTAGGTATTTTCGATGGAGGACGCATTGCGCTTTGTGGTACACACTTGCAATCTGCAAATAGTCAGGACAAGCCAAACACAAACATCGCGGATTGGAGTTACCGTAAAGCGAGAAAGAATCAGAGTGGGTGACTCCCGTGGAGAGTCTTCAATCGGACGAACAAGCAGGTGCTCAGGTATCAAGTCTCTAGCTCGCCGAAGCTGCGCATCAACCTCCATAACAGTGTCGTAAGAAACTGGAGTTTGAAGGGGGGCTGTTGTTTCGAGGACACGGCCAAAGACAAATGTCAAGCGTGACTTGGCAATAAGATACGAGATTGGTGTAGGCTCATTCGGGGGTCGAGACGGAGGGAGCTCCTTGCAGTTCTCATCGAAATCGTCATCATACAAATTTCGGGGGAGTTCCGTGTCTGTGTCAGACGTGCGAATCATGTTTGGAAGACCAATTTGAGAGGAGCACAGTAGATCTGCCTGCCGTACGAAGGACCACACTCGGCGGCGCATTTCACCCTGGAAGGGGGTGATGTTGGGAAACATCTTCGAATCGCGATGGTATCCCATCCTCATGGCCAGCCTCGTAATCACACCCACCAGCACCCAAACTGATACGTCCGCTTCCCGTGTCTGGCAGAGGTCTCCATGAAGATGGAATATCAAGCTTTCAATCAGATTTGGATATGATTTGGTAAAGTCAGCCAAAGTAAGGCACTGCGCAACAAGATTCCTAAACGTGCCAGCCATGTCTAACGATTTACCCCGGAACTCCGGTGGCTCGTCTCCATCACGATGGTATGATAACATGGCCAGCCGCATCATGGCGAAGAGCATAGCGATCCAAACGGTGCACGTCTGCGAAGGATCCTCCCAGTGACGGTTGTACTAGGCCACTGTTAATGAACTGCCTCCCCTCAGTTAGGGGGAACAATTTTGACTTACCTGGGCTTGGAAGGTTGGGCCGTGGAGAATATCTATTGCTACGTCAGCTCTAACAGTACTTTGTGTAGGTAGACGTAATCTCTGACTCACGAGTCGAAGGGTCGTAACAGCTGAAATATCGTTCAATCAACATGTCCGTTGTATACTTTGAAGGAAAAGAAGACATGATTTCTGCTCGGCTAAGCGGCTTTGTAGCTCCAAACAGTAATGCAGAGCCTGAAACATCGGTAGGCAACTTCGTTGCCTCCAATTTCTGGGCTTGTTCCTCGTACTGTTTTTTGTGCGTCTGGAAGAAATTGCGGACTTCCGTGATCTAGAAAGTACCATTAGCATAACGATCGAAGCTGGTTGAGAATAAGATAGACGTACATCATGCATTACAGTAGCCCAATGGGCTTCGCTGAAATACCATGACTTGTTATTGTCGACCTTCATTATGCCAAACGATTTGGTGACCTGCTCAGTGTCACTCTCCTCCGGAGCATTGGGTGCGTCGTCCTCTATGTCTACATCCCCGGTATGTGGTACAGAGCCAGTGCTACTGCTATTGCCAGATATCGCAGCAAGGGCTGCAGCTGGACCGCCGGCCTGTGAACCATTTGTCATGAGGGACAGAACAAGATTCTCAAGCCGGTCGATGCGATTCTGCATGTCGTCTGGCGAACTTGAAGCAGACAGCTGAGGTGGATTCTTCTTTCGTACGTTTGCCTGAGCATATGAACATGATGTGGCATCGCCTCGTTTGATACAGTTCTCACAAGGTTGTGCACGGTTACATTTCAACCTGTTTAGAAATGGTGAGCCATGTACGGCGCACTAAAAGTGAGCAGAGGCACTTACTTTCGTTGCCGGCAAGGCGCACAGGAAAGTGGCACCCGGTTTCTCTTCCTAGTAATTTTATGAAGACCTTCCGGCGAGAATGCGCTAGCGCTCGATGAGGTTGTAGATGGAGGAGTGGGAGACATTTTGTTGTAAAGACGTTTGCTGGAACGGTTTCTGAACCAGAGAGCAACGTTGTATGATAATCAGGACACCCTCAGGATACCCTTGATCTTGTCAGACTTCTCCAGAGCTGATACTGTGGTACGCCAGACCGAAGCAGACAAACGGGTAGACAATCGTATAGTGGGACGAAGTGCGCGGCCTCCACAACTGGAGATTCTTCCAAGTGTCCGTCAGATGTTGTGATTGGAAAATGGCGGTGTCGCAGTACGAATCCAAGCCACGTTCCGACGGTCGGGTTGGGCGCAGATAGGAGAGCGTGATGTAACGAAGCGCCGTGTGAGATATCGACGGGGCGCAACTGCTGGTACGGGGGTGTGTTTGCGGTTTCACTCAGCGCAGTGTGAGACGGCGCGCGAGTCGAAAGTTCTGCTCAGAGACAGAAGTCAGGGCCAATTTCGCGCGATGTGGCTAGATCCCTCGCTCTTCTGCAGCTGCTGAAAGAGGCGGTTGGCGGAGGGTGAGGTGCGCTGAGCACCAAGGAGGGGCGCGATAATGTGGATTTGGGGGTGCTTTGCGGTCCGTCCGGTAGTCCGCAAGCAGAACTGGCAGCTTGTAGTCAAGGTCGCGATCACCTCAGTGCTGTCCAGAGCAGCTAGGCGCACAGGAAAGCAGCTGTGGAAAATCAGAAGAAAAAACCGGGAAAGGTCGAGTCGAGTGATGGAAAGGTTGAAGGATGGGTAGGATGGCTGGAACCCCAGAGGACCGACGGCGAGTGTCTAGAGGCACGTTTCAGTGCTTAGTGTTTAAGTTGGTTATCTCCGTTATCGCCTTCTGCCCTTTTCCTGAGGCGGTCAATATGGTCCTCAGGCAACAGCTGACATAAGGCGGGATGGGAACATCAATTTCCTTTTTCGAAATCAAGAAGTAGAGAGAGGAATCAAGTACGGCTTACTGTCCTCTCACTTGGATTCCAACAGCATAGTGACAGAAGCAGAATTTGCAATGGACACGGTTATGTAAGACGGCTATTCAGACCTCACACTATACTGCTAAAGGATTTGCGTCATAAGTACCTTTGATCTATAAGATGGCACTGGCCCCGTTTGTCTCGCCCATGGGAGTAGCCTGGACCCGGGCTGTGATGGTATTCCTGAGACGCCGTCTCAATCCTTAGGCTAAAAATGAGCTGCTCATTTGCCCGCTTGGTCCGATAGTGGACAACTAACTAACTAACTAAATTACAGGGTGCATATCTAGTTGTCTCGTATGATCGTTGGTTGGTATCAACCATACACAACTTGTGATACTGGGAGTAGAAAGGAATAACCAACGAACCTGGATGCGCAGTGACACCAAGACGTTCGCTGACATGAAGTCTTATTTCTCCAAGGAAGAGCCAGTCAGATCGAGCTTGAGCGAAAGAGTGCTGACGCAGTATTGATCCGTGAGCTCATTCGCTTCCACTAAGAATATTTTCCACCCAAAAGGCAGCGGCAGCAGCAGCTGTCAATCTACTAGTGAGGAACATACTTTGCTCTTGTACTCACTCCGATGAGTCCAAAAAGCTTCTGGCCGGATTGCGGACCCATCCAAGTGGATCCTCTTCATTCTGCTTCGTCAAATCACCCTATTAAAGCCATGGGAGAAAAACAAAGTCAAAGATGAGCTGATTTCCGCTTTCTGGCAGGCTGACCATGGCTACATAGATACCCCGTATATACTGGTTCTTACCGTTATCAATGCCCCTCATTTGCTCCCAGCCTAGACTATATCCCCATCATTTCTCCCCTATCCAACACCATGTGAAACCCCGGTCTCAGACCCAAATGATTGGGCGGCAGTCTTTGTTCCACCATGTGTGCAGCCTTCCGGTCTCCCCCTAAACGTCATTTCTCGATCAGGGATTCCCTTCCTGAACGATTGAATACAGTAAGATGGATTGATCTATCAGCTGCGGTCGCATAAGTACACCAGGCCCACCAGCCATTCACCGTGTTTTACTTCATTGCCAACTCAAGGCTGCATGGCCATCCTTGCCGCGCTGCCTCGTCCTGTGAGTGAATGAGCAGCAGGCTGTGCCCCCAGCAACCTGATGTGGGGTGTGTTAGCAGCACCTACTAATTTACAAGCGCTCATTCCCACTCCCCAAAACCTTCGTTCTGCCTTCATCCTCCCTGCAGCCTCATAGCGTGTCTATCTAGGTTGTGAGCTGTTGTGAAAGATAATTTATTTGGCGAGAAAAGCATTCTGCCATGTCGTCGGGAGGTCAGCGGGGTCGTGGTAGAGGAGATCGGGGCAAAGGCGGAGACCGTGGTCAGGGAGACCGTGGTCGGGGCCGCGGCGGTGCTCCCAGAGGTGGAGGTGCAGGCCGAGGCTCGACCACTGAGCTCCCTATCCGTCCCGGTCCCAGTGATGGCGGTTTTAGAGGTCGGGGAGGAAGAGGTGATGGTGGTGGTGGGAGGGGATTTGATGGGGGCCGTGGACGTGGTTCAGATAATAGGGGACGGGGAAGAGGGTTTGATGGGGGCCGTGGTGGTGGACGTGGTGGCCGCGGAGGTCGGGGAGGAGGGAGAGGCGGTTTTGATCAAGGCCCGTCGGTGTACTCGTGAGTAGCGTCCCCACACGTTTGGCTGCATTGCACGCCAATCTAACTTAATGGCTACCTTAGTCCGGGTGGACCGGTCCCTACCCCCAGTCCCCAGGTCGAGAAAACGGAAAACGCTATCGGAGCAGCGGTGCTTGCGAAGAAGCAGAAGAAAACTGCGGAGTGGCCGCTGCGGCCTGGTTTTGGCACCCAGGGACGGCCTGTCACGCTGTACGCAAACTATTTTGAGCTAAAGTCGGTGGGGAAGCAGCTATACCGCTACCACATCGATATCTCAGGCGACGCAGCTGGTAGGAAGCCTACCGGCAAGAAAGCCCGTCACATCGTGCGATTGTTTCTCGAAGAACATTTGGCTCAGTTCCGTAACAGTGTTGTTACCGACTATGTATCCACGCTTATTGCAAACCAGAAGATCCTGATCGAACAGGAGGCCGTCGAATATGATGTTCGCTACCGGGATGAATATGAGGACGAGTACCCCGAGGATCCTAAGGTCTACCGGGTGAGGTGCCAATATACAGGCACCCTCAACCCATCAGACCTCCTGAACTATCTCACATCTTCAGATGCTGCTGCCATGTTTGCATCCAAGGCCGACGTTATACAGGCCATGAATATCATCCTGGGCTTTCAACCCAAGAGTGATCCGACCATCGCTTCTGTCGGTGCCAATAAGCACTATGCTATCTGTGGAGGTCGTGAGGAGAAATATTCTCTCGGTGACGGGCTGGAGGCACTCCGGGGCTTCTTTGTCAGTGTTCGTGCCGCAACTTCGCGTCTTCTGGTGAACGTACAGGTCAAGTACGTTGCCTGCTACCAAGAAGGCCCGCTGGCGCACATCTTCGCGTTGTATGAGCCATTCCGCCCTCGTGAGCTCAACAACTTGCGTCGGTTCATTCGCACCTTGAGGGTTCAGGTGACTCATATCAAGAAGACCAACAAGAAAGGTCAAGCTATTCCACGGTTCAAGCGCATTGCTGGTGTTGCAATTCCGAGAGACGGTGCCTCGCAGCCAATGCCTCCCAAAGTGCCAAGACTTGGTGCAGGCCCTAAAGAGGTGGAATTCTTCCTTGACGCTCCAGGTCAACAGCCGTCGGCATCACAGCAGACTTCTCGCTCGAAGAAAGGAAAGAAGCCCGTTAAGGCGGGACCTCAGCCGGCTGGCAAGTATATCAGTGTTGCAGACTTCTTCCTCCAAAGTCAGTGTTACCCCCAAGCCTATCCTGACGTTGCGTCATTTAACATTGTCATCTGCAGATTACAACATCCAATGCGACCCAAAGATGCCCGTAGTGAACGTCGGCACTAGAGAGAATCCGAGCTATCTGCCCGTCGAAGTGTGTGAGGTCGTGCCTGGTCAGCAGGCTAACACCAAGCTTACACCTAACCAAACGCGGAACATGCTAAACTTTGCTGTGCGAGGCCCACCGCAAAATGCTCAATCAATTGTGGCGCAAGGGACAGAAGTGTTGGGTCTGGGAGCGTCACCAAATCCCACCCTCGTAAGTATCTCTCCAAAGCTGTTGTGAGTGCTTTGTTAACGTCTGTGTTCAGGTGGACTTCGGCATCCAGAATGATCCTCGGCTAATAACCGTACCTGGACGAGTACTACCGGCGCCTAGCGTTCTGTACAGGGACGAGAGCAAGCCGAGTCAAAAGCAAATCAAGCCCTATTCAGGAAGTTGGAACATGAGATCGATTCGGTTTTCGACCTCCACAAAGCTGCCTTCTTGGACTTGGCTTGCCTTGGACTACGAAGGCGCGAAATATCCGGCCATCAGGCCCGAAGACTTGAGCGCCAACCTCAAAGGCTTTACGGACAAGTTGAACGAGATCGGCGTGAATGCCAGCCCACCAAAGACTGGACAAACTCTACTTTTGACGAGGAGAGGATATGATGAGGAGATTAGAGAGTATAATACAAAGGCCATCGACAGAGCCGTTGCCGAGCTCATTGAGAGACACCAGCCCATGCTCATACTGACGGTCCTTCCGGGCAACGACGCTGATATCTATAATATTGTTAAGAGGGCCTGCGATTTGACGCACGGCGTCCGCAATGTCAACGTCGTTGCCGACAAATTCAGAAAGTCTAATGATCAGTATTGGGCAAACGTCGGGCTCAAGTTCAACCTCAAGCTGGGAGGAAACAACCAGCTAATTGATCCCAAAGAGCTAGGCCTCATTGGACAGAAAAAGACCATGCTCGTCGGTGTTGACGTCACCCACCCGTCCCCTGGGTCCTCCTCCGCAGCCCCTAGTGTTGCTGGCATGGTTGCCTCCGTCGATTCGACTCTCGGCCAATGGCCCGCGGAACTCCGTATTCAAAAGCCCCGGGAAGAGATGGTCGCCGAACTCGACACCATGCTGAAGGCCCACCTTCGGCGCTGGGTTCGTAACCGGAAGACCTACCCGGAGAACATCATCGTTTACCGCGACGGAGTCTCCGAAGGCCAGTACGAGCTCGTGGTGCAGCGCGAACTCCCTCTTCTCAAAGAAGCATGCAAGGAAGTATATCCCGCCACCGACACCTCCAAGGGCCTCCCACGCATCTCGATCGTGGTTGTAGGTAAACGCCACCACACACGCTTCTACCCAACCAAGCTGGAGGACGCCGACAAATTCGGCAACCCGGAAAACGGCACCGTCGTCGACCGCGGCGTCACCGAAGCCCGCAACTGGGAGTTCTACCTGCAGGCTCACACTGCCCTGAAGGGTACCGCTCGCCCAGCCCACTACTTTACCGTCTGGGACGAGGTCTTCTGCCGAGAGAAGGCCATGCCCCCATACGAAAATGCCGCAGACATCCTAGAAGGCCTCACCCACCGACTCTGCTACCTCTTCGGCAGAGCCACCAAGGCCGTTAGCATCTGCCCGCCCGCCTACTACGCCGACCTGGTTTGTACCAGAGCTCGTTGCTACCTTAGCAAAGTCTTCGACGAAACCCCGACCGGAAGTGTCATTACAGGCACTGACCCTGGCTCTTCTGCTCGGGAGTTCCTGAACGTCAAGATCCATCCGAATGTTAGCGACACTATGTTCTACATCTAGGATGTGAAGAAGATGTTCGGATAGACGTTGCTTATGAGAACTACTACTTATGATATTTGGATAGTTGCTGATTTGAGATAAACCATGCCTCTTTGCCCTTTGCCACGTGGATGATTGTTGATGATGATGATTTGGTTTGTTTATCTTGAGTTACTACTATCTGATGTTTTGAGTGAAACCCCCCCAGATTTTTTTTTTTTTTTTTTTTTTTGACCCACAAAAAAATACCTTTCTTACATACTTGCCCTTTTTGGGGGATATTTTGATTTTTTTTTATTTACTTTACTTTTTTTTGAGGATGCATGTAGTACATATCATATGTGACGGTTGTATGTACCTAGAATGAGCCAAATACGAGATACATGGTCACATATTATGATAGAACTACACTTGATTGAAGGATATATTGTTTGGTATTCCACATCGTATTAGTATTTTCATTAGGGTGAAATACGATGCTTTTTATCACTGAATCTGCCAATCGATCATGAGTATGGTATTTCACTTATCTGGGCATACAGAATGTGCCGACTACTGGTATTTAACAGACAATGCGTGATGTAGAATGATAAATGAACCAAAGCAACCAAGGACACAAAAAAGAAAATAAAAACTGTCAGTGGAAATTTCTTACAAGAAGCGAAGAAGACACATCAAATAAGCAATAAGACAAAATCATATTGAACTGTAGGTAAACAAAATACACAGCTAGGAACTGAAATTGAATCGAAAAACACAACAAGAACAGAACATGTGGTTTATCATAGATCCGTGCATGCGTTGACTCTGCTATCGTTCACGGCGGGGAAATAAGTATCATATGCAGGCTTTTTTGGGTGCGCTCTTCAGTGAAACATGATGTGGAAGACTTGTCGTCGCTGTATGAATTGTAGTACTTGAGTAAGGAGCGGAGGCCCAATGTTCGGTAAATTTGATAGACAGGTGGTTGTAGACGTTCAGCTCATTGAATGATCGGCATACATCATTCAGTTCTCTCCCATATCCCAGCTACGCTGGTTGAGATGACGCATGGCGCGACGCTGAGGAGGTGCCGCCTTCTCCGGCGACTGCTCGGGGTCATCCCAGGACGACTGCATGTTCTTGAGAGCCTTCTGGCGATCTCCACCAACAGGTTTCACGTTCTCACTGCTGACCTTGCTGCTCTGGGGCGACTCGGCGGTGATGTTCCAGTGGGTCTCGTAGTCCTTCTTGCGGTTGGGGCCGTTGTTGACAACAGACAGAGGGGCGTTCTCGCCAGCGGCTTCCTCTTCGTCTTGGAATAGGTGGTTCTTATAGAGGCTCAGTCCCTTGTTCTGGAAAGAACTGATGATACGAGGGGCGTTCTTGTCCTCAGCGGGGTCGTCTGTCAGGACGAAGTGGGTTTCGGCGTCACGACGGGGACGGTGCACCGCGGGATGGGCCGGAGGCGAAGTGAGGTCCGGCTCATCATCGCTCCAGCCAAAGTGACGGATTTGCTCTCCCCGAAGCGGACGCTTAGGCTTCTCGGGCGTCACGAAATCGTCAAAGTCCCAGTGAGGCGCCTGGCGCGACACAGGACGACTGGGCTTTTCCTTGATCTCCCTCTCACTGTTGTCCCCACCGAGCTCAAAGTGATCATAACGCTTCGGGTTAGCCCGATAGGCAATCTGCTCGTGACCACCTTCCGCAGCGACGGTTTCATCATCATCAAAGATACGGGAGCGCTGGAAGTTCTTGCTGGCACCAGCTTTGGGAGCGATTCTACTCCGAGACGGCGTGTCGGGAATATCGGCGTCTTCGTGGAAGATTTCCTTGGGATCGCGGGGCGGGGGCTTTGCAGATGCAGGAGCACGAGGTGCGCGGACTGGCTCGCTCCGGTCCTTTTCAGGGGAGAGGAGCTCAAAAAGTGACTCAGCGGCGTGAGGATCCTTGATGTGTCTCTTTCCGGGGGAACCCTTCTTGCTACGTTCCTCATTGCTCTCGGTTGTTGCAGGGAATGATGCAGACGCAGGTCCGTCGTCAACTGGGTTGGAGGAAACAGCGGACTTGATCAGGCGAATCTGATCCTTGGGTTCGCGAATCGGCCAGCCGCGACTGCGGGATCCGATCACTTCGACTTGTTTCAGTAGCGACGCTTGGTCCCAGTAGATTCGGACATTTTGGATCTGATTCTGCGAATTAAAGCGAACGATATGGACCTGCGCAAGAAACAGAACGCGGCGTTAGTACAGGTATAGAAGAAGAGTAGAAGAAGGAGGTCACCAGGCGCCCGACGTACCGTGGGGAAAGTCGCGACGTGGTCAGCCAGGAAGTTATCGTCCAGCGAGGGAAGATAGGCCCCGCCTCCAGACACAAACTCCAGGGTAGTTTCAATGTCCAAGCAGAGGGAGTTGGCACTCTCAATCACATCCAGAACGTTTTCCGACCTGGTCTTGACAATTCTCTGCTGCTTGGTGAGGTGGCTGACCACCGCCGATGCGCCATCCAGCTTGGTGGTGGTGGTGATATAGATCAAGGACGCATTGGAGGCCAGGGGCGCCGAGCTTGGGTTAGCCAGAAAGCGCTGGTACACGTCTTTCAAAGACATGGTGGATTCGAGTGGATTAATATGTCAGAAACGAATGTGAGGGGGAGGGAGTGTTGGGTTGGGGTAAAGGAAGGACAAAACACGGGCAGAGAGTGAGTAGTTAGTAGGAGTTGATGACAGGCCGAGGGAAGGTGAGAGGAAGGGGAAACCGCCCGTTGCAGATTGGCGCGAACCACGTTTCAGGACCCGATTAACTTTCCAAGCACAGAGAGTACAGAGTAAACCTGGACTAGAGTAATTGTAATGAATTTAATAAATAAATGAATGAATGTGCTGAGGAGGTGAGTATTGAGAGAAGAGGAATGCAGGCAGAAATCAAATCCAACAAAATCAATCGCCACGGGGGATTTGACTTTTAGTTGTTGTTGTTTATGGTTATTATTATTATTATTATAAGGACCAGATTCACAACTAACAAATTTGACTTCTCCAAGGGGGGGGGGTCTGGCGGATTCACCGTGAGCTATTCTTATACCTAACCACTTACTACCAACTGCACCACCAATTGATTGATTAAGAGCCATTCTTCCTATGAGAAGGGGTGGCCAATCCAACTAACATGGGGTTTGGTTTGCCATCCGGCACAGTATACTGCTACTAAGAGTGACGATGATCCAATAAACATGTGTCTTCAGACTCTGGGGGCATGACAGTCCATGGCTTTCCTGAATCTATTCGGGTCCATCACAATCTCGCAAGAAATCTCCCACGACGCTAAGGACTGGGGAAAGTCAAATGAGCCACGCGCACGGCTCCGACGATGGACACACCAGCGTTTCACTAATCGTGATGGGCCACCAACTATCTACTAGTAAGTAAGTACTAAGTAGCTAAGTAATTAAGTAACTACCCGCGTCTCTCCGGCAACTGCGCTTGGGCTCGGCTGGGTTCTTTATTCATGCTGCCTGTCTGCATAATTCGGCTCACTGCACTGCACTGCACTACGTATACTTGCTTGGCTATGTAAGTAGTAGGGAGTAACAGGAGTCTAAATACTACTAGACTAGACTCAGGTCCAGAACTGGTCGTGGTCTTTCATCTATAAATTAGTTCGTCTTTCTTTATTTTATTTTAGACCTTCAGTCTGGCAAGCCAAATTCGGAAGTGTCCGCCTTAGATATACACACATATAGCTATCCTCCTAACTGGCATGGGAGATCCTATGCCCTCCCCGTCGTGGTTTTTCTTCTCAGGTGCATTTAGTGCCTGGTTTCGCAGCAATCAGTCAATCCCGTTCGCCTGCGCGGGTTTCTGCAAAGAAAAGGCACGATATCATGCCGGTGGATGATATCCAAGCCCAAGACTCCCGCCTTGGGCGCGCTCTCATCATTCTACCCATGGGCGCACCTCCTTGCAAGGCAGAATTCTTTCAACATGGTTGTTCTTGTGTGAGAAATTGTAGAGTAAGGAAAGGGTATCAACGATCCTTTCAATAGTCACGCGATATCAATCATTAGGGTAAATGGTGGAGGTTAACGGCACATCACAAAAGGCATTACAATGGTCTGGTTAGGAAAAGGAAAGTAAAACGTCAGTACATCTGCGTCAAAGTCTAATCCCCAGAGAGGTTGGGAAACTCACCCGAGGTAATCTTCCTTGATCGTTCCAATGGCATTGATCGCCGCAACGTCGGGCTTCACACCGAGAATCTTAAGCCGTAAACTGGTCCCCTTCTCGATGACTTGGTCCGCATGGTCTGTGTATTGCGGCGGTACTGTGTTCGGTTCCCACTTGATATCGGAAGGAATGTTCTTGCCAACTTGTTAGCATCCGACAAGACTAGGTGATCCAACTCAAACTCGGTCGTCGACATACTTTCCGTGCAATGAAAACAGACAATGGACCGGCCAAAGTAAAGATACCCGTGGGCTTGACAGACGTAACAATCGCATCGACCTACAGGGTTCTGGTCAGAATCAAATGCAGCCCGGTTTCAGTGCGACTCCAAAACGTACGGTCTCTCCGCGGAAGGGCTTCCAGATAATTGCCCGATACTTGATCGTATATTCTGCCTGTCCGCTGCCTGGAAGCACCCGTCCTTCACCAATATCAACCATGTCCATTACGCAGATCACGAAATGGTCGCCCGTACAACGTCCCTCTTCCTCCTCGTTTAACCGGTTGATGAGATACTCGCGCATGTTGGGCCCGAAGTAGGACGGGTGCAAGGTGATAACCTTGACCTCTTCTTTAAGGAAAAACATGTTGTAGACTTGTGATGGTCGAGAGTATGATACACAATTTTGTTTCAACAGCCGGTGCGGTGGGGGTTCGGTTTACGCGATAGATCAAGCTTCAGCCAGTATCTTACTGTTTCCCGGGGATTGGATGGTGCAGTTCGAATATCTCGAGTGGCCCGTGTCGTTAGTCCAAAGTAAGTTGAATCGCTATGAATGAGTGAAGCGAATGAACTAGGTTTGCGACAAATGGACGAGCACTTGCCGCCAATACTTGATGACAAGATATCAACAACTGGGAAGACCAGAAAACTGATTCAGCAAAGCCAACAGAAGAAGGGAGCGCGCGTTCAGGATAAAGAGCGCAGAACAGAGCAATTGCAGCAGATAAACCCTGCCTTCAAACAAGATCGGACAGAAGAAGGGCAGTCACCCGTTAATTCGACACCAAACTCATAGCGGTCACGGATTTCCGTCTGAACAGCTCGAGCTGGATGCTCTCACGTGACTATCTGGAAAGCACCCCCACGATGGTCATCAATTACAAAACCATACGCCGTTACAGAGCCGACAGAGTGTAGCTCCGCGCACTGCCGGTCATGACGAGACGCAACGTGTAATTAATCACGATATCCTCGGTCCTGCCTTTGTGCAACGAGTTTACCTAGGCCGGGATGACGTCTGCACAAGCATAAAGCCAGGAACAAATCATAGAATGTCCTATCTCTCCACCTGCTGATCGGGTCAGATCAGGCAATATCCCCAGACGAGAAACAAAAAAAAAAAAAGAGCTGGTCTCACGCTCACCGTTATTCTTTTGTTGCGCCCATCTACATCGGACTTTCGAGCCATAGCAGTAATAGCATTCCAAGATGGCCTTGAATCTCGAAAAGCAGCTTCTGTTTGTAAGCCTCTACCGCAACACCTATCACAGTGTTCAGTGTTTGGCGCAAGATTTCCATGCTAACGAGCCTCGCAGTATGGAGCCTATCACAATAACCCAGTATGCCATGCTATTTGCCCCGTTTGCGGCTTGCTCTAATGGTCCCGTCCAGGTAAATGTTGCGATACACATCACATGCGTGCCGATACTTCTGTTCACAGGAATCGCTCTGGTACGAACTGCTATTCCCTCAACCCTTCATAGCGATGGACCGCTAACGTTTTATGAATCTACTAGGCGTCGAACACACCGGCTTTCGTGAACCTGCCCGATGCGCTGCAGATCCAAAACCTTCCTCCTAATCTCGGAACGATCGCAGCCATCATATACTCCACGTTTTACATCCTCCTCGAACCTGTTGCGGGGGCACTGGTCGCTCCCCTTATAATCGCCGGTGCAGCCTGGGCGAACCATCTACTGGCTACGTATGGCAACAGCGCCAACTATTGGTTTGCTGGGATCCATGTAGTGTCCTGGCTCGCTCAGTTTGTCGGCCATGGTGCCTTTGAGCGCAGAGCTCCGGCCTTGCTGGACAACCTCGTCCAGGCGCTTCTTCTGGCACCTCTCTTCGTCTGGATGGAAGTGCTCTTTTTCTTCGGCTACCGTCCGGAGCTGAAAGCCAGATACGATCAGAATGTGGAAAAGCAGATTGCCGCTTTCAAGGCGCAGAAGGGCAAGACTGCCAAATAAGTGCCGTAAAGCTATATGGTAGGATGACCCGATCTCTATTTTTACATGGGAGTTGCATGGCTAGTAGCGGTGATTTTGCTGCGAGTTATGTTGCCATGTCAATGATTCGAATTGAGAGCATTGCTCTTCCTTAGCATTAGTTTTTTGGTACCTCTGGAGTTTTGAGATTGATGTTTGCAGAGTGCAATGTCTGTCAGCGCTACAGCAATAATATCATACTACGTCGGTAATTGAAGTTAATCATTAATGAATAGCGAAGTATCCCAAGATGAGTGAATAAACCGATGTTGATGCAGGCTTGACATTCATGCATCCAAAGTGGATCATGATGTAAGCCCCGGAAGTACGGAGTAGGAACCTGGGTAGTGAGGACTGTAAGGAGGAAAAATGGGGAAGGGGAAATAGGAAAAAGGTCGGGTATGGTTGGTATGTGAATATAAGAGGGGGTTTTCTGTGTCATACAACATGCGCATAAGAAGAGGAGAACGAGAGACAAATTACACATAATTAAGAGGGGAAAAGTTTGGGACAAGTCTTGGACTTTGACGGGCAGAAGGAGGAGAAAAAGAGGAGGTATATGCTGGGTAGCGGTAACATACGAACGAACCAGTTGGTCGCAGCCATGGGAAGGGCCCATGTCGAGCCGGTGTTTCCCACCGGGACAACCGGTCAAAGCAGTGAGGTGAGTGAGTGCGGTGTCGAGCAGAACGGGGCGGGTTGTTGTTGGCAGGGCCCTGCGGGCGGTTGCTGCGACGAAAATGAACTGAGTAAGCCAGCCAACCAGCAGTATCCGCAGATCCGAGAAAAGGAACAAATGAAAAATGGGATGGCCAGGTGGCCCGGAGAAACAAGCGGTTACCGCTTTCCCTCACAACCCCCGTCAACTTCAGAGCAACAATGTTAACAATTCCCTACCATAAAATAAAATTATGAAAAGGGTTCAAAGTGTAGGGGAACTAATAATAATAATTTTATGGACTAAAAATAATGTAGTAGTAGATCGGTGGGAAAAAATAGTAGACAAAAAGTGATGGAATACATCACCCGGCAACGAGTTTCTTTGGGGTGGGTGGGTGTCCCGTGAGCGCACTAGGGCGGCTTCGGAGGTTGGTGAGGTCTCGGCAAACTAGGATTAGTGGCAGTCCTGAGAATCCTCCCAACCCCGACGACAAAGCTCTCCTTCCATCCATCCACAATCCTTTCTCCTCTTCCTCCCTCCCCCCAATTACATCTCTCCTTCAGAGAAACCACTCTCCCACTCCTCTGAACCCCCATCACAATGTTCAGAAACGCTTTGCGGCAGTCTAGCCGCACCGTCGCGGCTGCCTCTGCCACTGGCAGGATCGCTTCGGTGAGTCCTATCCCTGTCCAGGTCGACCATACCTTCGCCATCTGGCCGATTCCATCCAAGAAGTCATCTCAATGATGCTTGCCATCGCCTCTCTACACATCGCAATGCTTCCTGCTTCGCTTTTACGCGTTTTGACTGCGTGGTCGTGATGTTGACAAATTTTGCGTACGACTACAGGCTCGCGCGGCTGTTCCCGGCCCCCTCTCTGGCGCCTCCAAGCAGATCCGTTCCTACGCTGCTGAGGCCAAGGCCTCTCCCACTGAGGTCTCTTCCATCCTTGAGCAGAGAATCCGCGGTGTTCAGGAGGAGGCTGGTCTTGCCGAGACTGGACGTGTCCTTTCCGTCGGGTACGTGACGAATTCTCCCTCGGTTGAAAATTTTGGCCGCCGCTTCAATTCCATCGATATCATCGAAATATTCGAAAATTCGGCCATTATTTGACGCTCTCCATCGAAATCAATTGAAACTAATGTCAAAAATAGTGACGGTATCGCTCGTGTCCATGGCATGACCAACGTCCAGGCTGAGGAGCTGGTCGAGTAGGTACCCCCGTTTTTTATATATGCCTTGTTAATGTATCAATCCAATTAACAAATCATTAGGTTCGCCTCTGGCGTCAAGGGTATGTGCATGAACCTCGAAGCCGGCCAGGTCGGTGTCGTGCTTTTCGGTTCCGACCGTCTCGTCAAGGAGGGTGAGACTGTCAAGCGTACCGGAGAGATTGTATGTATCTCTGTTTTTTTTTTTCACGCCCAGATATCAGCAATCTTACTTACAAAAATCATCTAGGTCGATGTCCCCGTTGGTCCTGAGATGCTCGGCCGTGTCGTCGACGCTCTCGGTAACCCCATCGATGGCAAGGGCCCCATCCCCACCAAGGTCAAGAGCCGTGCTCAGCTCAAGGCCCCTGGTATCCTGCCCCGTCGCTCCGTCAACCAGCCCGTCCAGACTGGTCTGAAGTGTGTCGACTCCATGGTCCCCATCGGCCGTGGTCAGCGTGAGTTGATCATTGGTGACCGTCAGACCGGTAAGACCGCTGTCGCCCTTGATGCCATGCTGAACCAGAAGCGCTGGAACAACACCTCCGACGAGAGCAAGAAGCTTTACTGCATCTACGTTGCCGTCGGTCAGAAGCGTTCCACCGTCGCTCAGCTCGTCAAGACCCTCGAGGAGAACGACGCCATGAAGTACTCCATTGTCGTTGCTGCTACTGCTTCCGAGGCTGCTCCTCTGCAGTACCTTGCTCCCTTCACTGGTTGTGCCATGGGTGAGTGGTTCCGTGACAACGGCCGCCACGCCGTCATCATCTACGATGACCTTTCCAAGCAGGCCGTCGCCTACCGTCAGATGTCCCTGCTGCTCCGTCGTCCCCCTGGTCGTGAGGCCTACCCCGGTGACGTTTTCTACCTCCACTCTCGTCTCCTTGAGCGTGCTGCCAAGATGAACGAGAAGCACGGTGGTGGTTCCCTCACTGCCCTCCCCGTCATTGAGACCCAGGGTGGTGATGTCTCCGCTTACATTCCCACCAACGTCATCTCCATCACTGACGGTCAGATCTTCTTGGAGTCTGAGCTGTTCTACAAGGGTATCCGTCCCGCCATTAACGTCGGTCTGTCCGTCTCCCGTGTCGGTTCCGCTGCCCAGGTCAAGGCCATGAAGCAGGTCGCCGGTTCCCTGAAGCTGTTCTTGGCTCAGTACCGTGAGGTTGCTGCCTTCGCCCAGTTCGGTTCCGATCTCGATGCCTCCACCAAGCAGACCCTCAGCCGTGGTGAGCGTCTTACCGAGCTCCTCAAGCAGAAGCAGTACTCCCCCATGGCCGTCTCCGACATGGTTCCCCTGATCTTCGCTGGTGTCAACGGTTTCCTCGACTCCATCCCCGTCGCCAAGATCCTCCAGTGGGAGTCTGACTTCCTTGCTCACCTCAAGAGCAACCACCCCGAGATCCAGGAGACCATCGAGAAGGAGGGCCAGGTCAGCAAGGAGCTCGAGGCTCAGCTCAAGGAGATCATCCCCACCTTCAACAAGTCCTTCAACGCATAGGTGAGCAACACAATGCTCTTGGGCGAATAGCCCGCCATGTACCGAATCAATCCTGACTCTATGTGTATAGACAAGATAGCTTGTACAATTTGAACCCACTGTTTTATTTTTTTCTGTTAAACCAGAGCTTCGGGTCGGTCGAGATATTGGATGAGGTGTAGTTTGCAACTATGCGATGAATATTTTACTGCCAGATCTATGTAGCTTATGGGACGACGGAGAGCAGGGTAAATCGGTGGTGCGGAGAAAGGCAAAAAAGATACGATTAATATCCTGTACGTTTAGATCATTTCGCGCGACAAAGGGAACGGAATTGGACGGATTAACTGGTTTGGCGTGTAATACCTTCCAGCTGGTCTCGGCTTATGAAACCTTTGTCTACATATATGCAGCCTGAATATGATT